AATTTTGCATCCTATAACCCTAATGAACTTGTTTATTAGTTCAAATAATTTTGGTGCACTTTTTGGATTTTCTATATAAATGTTCCCTATAAATACAGATAGTTTTATATCTTTCTTTTCAACCTAGATACCATCTTTTTTCTTTGACTAATCACTGGCTAGAAGTCCTTTTTATTTCTGTAACATCAGTAGTAATGTCTCCTCTTTATTCCTGATTTTAGTATTTTAAGTCTTCTCTTCTTTATGTTTGTTCAAGTTACATAACAGTTTGTCACTTTTATTGATCTTTTTAGGTAACCAACTTTTGATTTTATTGATTTTCTCTATTGTCTATACCTTCTCTATTTAATGTATTTACACCCTAGTTTCCTTCCTTACATTGGCTTTGGGTTTAGTTTGCTCTTTTTTTCTCAGTTCTTAAGGTGGCACATCAGGTTATTGATTTGAGGGTTTTTTTAGCATAGGTATTTACAGCTATAAATATCCCTCTAAGCACTGCTGTAACTGCATGCCATAAGTTGGTATGTTGTGTTTTATTTTTCTTAATCTCAAAATATTTTCTAATTTTCCTTGTGTTTTTTTCTTGACCAAGTTATTTAGATATATGTCATTTCATTCCCACATATTTTTGAAATTTCTAAATGTCTCTTTTTGTTATTGATTCCTAATTTCATTCCATTGTGGTCAGTGAGCATATTTCATGTGATTTTAATCTTTTCAAATTTATTGAGGCTTGTTTTATCATGTAACATTTGTTCCGTTTTGGAAAATGTTCCATGTGTACTTGAGAAAGGTGTGAATTGCACTATCATGCCATGAAAGCCACCATTGGGTGGCATGTTCCATCTATGTCTATTAGGTATAATTTATTTATAGGGTTATTTAAGTCTTCTATTTCCTTGTTGATCTTCTGTCTAGCTCTATCCACTATTGAATTGTCAATCAGGGGTGTTCCCTCTTTTGGCCACACTGGAAGAAGAGTTGTCTTGGGCCACACATTCAATATGCAAACACTAATGAAAACTGATGAGCAAAAAAGAAAAAAGATTTTAAGTAAATTTACCATTTTGTGTTGGGCTGCATTCATAGCCATGCGGGGCCACATGCAGCCTGCGGGCCACAAGTTGGACCCCGGATTGTATTGTCTGTTCGAGTCTTCTATTTCCTTATTGATTTTCTGTTTAGCTTTATTCATTATTACTCAATTGTCTAGTTTTTCCTTCACTTTTGTCAGGTTTAGCTTAATGTATTTTGGGTATCTTTTGCTGGTTTCCTGATGGATTGACCCTTTATCATTATAAAATGCTCTTATTTGTCTTTAATAACAATCTTTGTCTTAAAGTCTATTTTGTCTGTTATTAGTAACCACATCAGCTGGGGTTTGTTTTTTTCCCCCATTGTTCTCGTTGCTTTTGTGAAGAAGTCCATTTTCAGAGACTTTAGTCAAACATTCTGGAATATGGAACCTCTTAATTGCCTCTTAAATACCCATACGTCTTCTCTGTTTTTAGTCTTGTGTTCTCCTTCATTGCTAGAGTTACTGTTTAGAAATGCTATGATACAGGTAGGTTTGATGCTATAATTCCTGCCTAAGATTAGTTTGGTTGGGTCTGCTAAGTCATAACCATGGGTCTTTCTGCTTTCTACCTTCCAAAAGTTTGTAATTATTAACTCCTTTTCTACTTTCTTTGTTTTTTATTACTAAAAAAAAAAGTGCCTTTACTCAAAGGCTTTTCCAAGGGAACAGAGCTCAATGAGTGGTTGACATGTTTAACCTGTATCTGAGGGTAAACCCATTAGCTGTTAGCTACTATATTTTAAGTACCTGAATTTTCTTGTGTATTCTCCAGCATCTTTTTTAAATAACCAGAGGTCTTTTTTGTTGTGAAGGATCCAGATACCTGGCAATATCCTAAATTTAATTAAAGATGGTGCTTATATTATCTTCTAATTTAAACATAGAATTTGAACATCTTTGCTTCAAAGAATGGCCAGCTGCTTCCATATCTTTTCACTACTTGATTTTCCTTGGACCAGTGGTTCCGAAGCTTGACTATGCACCAGAATGGAGGGCTTGTTAAAAATACAGGTGACCCAGCATCATCCCCAGAGTTTCTGAGTAAGAAGTTGAAGGTGAGGCCCAAGAATTTGCATTTTCAGCAAGCTCTCAGGTGATGCTTATGATTCTGGTTCTGGGAAGACACTGGGAATCACTGCCTGAATGTGTGAAAGGCAGTGTTTCCTTTGGAGTGGGGAGGACATTTAGAAGCAGATGAGAACAGAGAAGGAGAGGAATAAGAGGGAGACAAACAGGAAGGAAAGCATGTGCCCACTTGCGCTTATCCTGTTGCACGTTGCTGGTGGCCACTCTTCCGTTTTCTCCATGACAAAATAAAACCAGGGAAAAATATGCTTAGAGAAGCAGCTCCTGGTATCAGAATTGTGATTGTATTCAAGGGGAAAAAAAGGAATGAAATGGAACTCCATGAAAAACCTTAAATGGAAGCCCTGGCAATGTATTTTTAAATGAAATTTTAAAGTGGTTGGGGAGTATGTGCAGGGTCTGGAGAAGCCAGTCCTTATGTAATTCTATGACAATCACTACTGGGGTATTGCTAAGGCAGCAGGATCCAGGCACTTTTGTTAGGGAAGCATGTGTCCAGGGGTTTCAGTTGCCTCATGGGCCCCCCTTTCCTCTTGTTGCAAGTCTGAGAAGGCAGGACACTGTCTAAGAGACATAAGCAGAGGGTCAGACCAAGAGGCTGGTTTGCGCCACAGGTAGGAGCCCAGACTTATGGCCATTCTTCTGCATTATTTTCATGTAGCCATTTGGAGATTCTGCCATAATTATCTCACATTTCACTATTTTGTTTTTGTTGTTGTTCTCAGAATGTTCTTCTGTGGTATGGTTGCAAATATTGAGAAATAAAATTGTGGCTGCAAAGGATAGAGGTAGTTGGGAGGAAACCAAGGGAGAAGAACTCAAAACCCTTGTTCCATAGATGAGGCTGCCTTTCAGACACTTTTATTACTTAAAATGCAATGCACCTGGTTACTTCCTGTTATCACCTCAGAAAGCAAGGAGCTGGGAAGGGAGAAAACAGGGTCTGGACAAGTGGATGACATGAGAAAGCAAGTTGTAGAAGACTAGTTTTACCTCTAACCTGTCACTTCATTTTTTAGGTCTGTTGTATTTCTATTTTGTTTTGTTTTTAATCTATAAAATGATGTTTTAGTTTTAGATAATTCCCAAAGGTGTTTGATTCTTCTTGTTGTTGTTTTTGCAAGATCACTGCTTATATCTCTTGGGCAGCCAGGCTAAGAAACCAAGTCTCTGGACTTCAAAGACAGAATTTAGGGTATGCAGAAGATTCAATCTTCCTTAAACCATGTGGTTCCGGAGGCTCCATTTATGTTATTTCCTGGTAGCAGTTTTTGATGGCTTTAGAGGAGAAGAAAGGTCATTGCATGACAATCAGGCAGCCACACAGGGGAAGACATGATGCATCATCTTGTGTAAGAAAAAGTATTATCCAGTCCAGTAGTCAGATTTTCAGACAAAGGCATGACCGTGGAACGTGCTGTCTATGGCTGAGCATAGCATGAGTCTGGTCACCAAAAAGTTTTTAAAAAACCAGTGCATGCTTGGCTTGTCAGTCTCTTTTGGATATGAAAGTGTATTTCACCTGAAAATTTTTCTCATTCTTATTTTGAATGCAACTAAATTGCTCTGGAGATATTAGTTGTAGTGGTAATTAATTTAGCCTTTATTGAGCACCTACTATGTGCCAGGCTCCATGTGACATGATAGAAATATCGAGAAAGACTCTGGGGTAGATGACTACATTTAGTAGGGAGGGGGAAGAGAAAGGCAAAAAAAAAAAGGCCAATATTCATCTATCCATCCTTCCTCTTATTGCTCAGGGATTTGTTGAGCATTTTCTATGTGCCCAGCTCTGTACTGAGTACTGGGGATACAAAAATGAATAACACGGGCACATCCCTGTGGTCCTTCAAGACCATGCTTCAATCAAGCTTGGTTAACCCTAACGCAGAGAAGGTCAGAACAGCCTGTGATGGAGGGGATGTACAGGCAAAATCAGGATCCATAGAGGGTTTCCCAGAGGAGGTGACCTGGGAACTAAAACAAAGAAGAAGCAAGTACTAACCAGGTGAAGCAAAGGCAGAAAGAAGAGTTAAGCAATGGCTAGACAGAGGAAGTGCTTAGTTGGATATAGAACACAGGCTTAAGGAAGAACAGTAGGAAATAAGACTTATTTATATTTGAAAGACATTTTATTCCTTGCTTAGGAGTTTGGACTCCAGCCTAAGGTGATAAGGAAATCACTGAAATATCTCAAAATGGAGGAGTTATTACAGGACTCTCCAGCCATTTAAAATACCATTAATTTGATAAAACTGCGTAGATTTTACATTAAAAATAGTAGAATAACAGACTTGTGTGCTCTCTATGATTGCTGGTATATAAAATATAATTATGACTGTAGAAAAGTATGGGAGTATGTCTAAAAGTAGACCCTTTTATTTGCACTGTGAGATTTTTTAAGAATCCCTTTGAAATACTCACTCAGCATTGAGTCTCGCTACATGCCAGTAGATGAGGCTACAGTCCCTTCCCTCTACCATCAGACATGGAGAGCTCTAATAGCATTCATGCACTTTTAAAAAGTGTATGGTTATAAATGTCCAGACTAGGCAAATCTATAGAGACAGCAAGTGGATTGGTGGTTGCCAATGTCTAGGGAAGGAGAGGTGGAGGGAATTGGAAGAGAGAAAAAACAAGTCCAGGATTTCTTTTTGGAGCAATGGGCGTATTCTGGAATTAGTGGTGATGGCTGTACAACATTGTGAACATAATAAAAAACACTGAATTTTACACTTTGCTTAAAGTGGTTAATTTTATGTTATGTGAATTTTATCTCAATAAAAAACACAGGAAGAAAAAGATTTTTTTTTTGTTTTTTGTTTTTTTTTTGTAGTAAAGGGCAATCGGAAGTGTGAGTTGAACTGCCAGGCAATGGGCTACCGCTTCTACGTGCGGCAAGCTGAGAAGGTCATTGATGGTACTCCCTGCGACCAGAACGGCACAGCCATCTGCGTGTCTGGGCAGTGCAAGGTAAGTGGCCCAGGACAGCAGTATAAGGGTGGATTCTCAGGCTCTTTGAGCTCTGACCTCCAGGCCGTGGTCTGCTACCGCGCCCAGCCCATGGGCCGCTGAGCATGAGCTCTGAAGGAAGTGGGAGAAGACAGGGCTGCTTGGTCCACTCTGTGTTTTTGATCTTTGGGAGTTACCATGTCTCACTCTGGCATTTCAGTTATTAAGTGATTTATATTTACACTACATGCTTCAAAAGGGACAGTGCTCTTTGCTCATTGGGTCTAGAGCTCTTTCCTTACCTCTTAAGTGGAGGTTATGGAAACGCCAGTGCTCATCAGTCCCGAAACAGTCCGCGAAGGTGGCATGTTTAAGGGCATGGTGTATTTCATCTTGCCTCCCACCAAGTGGGGCAGACTTCCAAATGAAAGTTGTCACTCACCCTTTAAAGTACGACAGACGTTGTACTTTAAACAGGAAGAATTTTTGGCCTCTTTGGACTTCTGAAGTCTTTTCCCCACCTGACATTTTGCAAACATTCTGGACTTGAGAGAATTCTTGTGGAATGCTACCCTTTGACAGAAAGCACATTTGGTTAAAAACAGGCATCTTAGATGAGATGGCACAAATGTCACAGTCACATGAATTTGAGCCTGGACTGCCGCACTCCTTTCATCTGTAAACATGGAGCTAAGTAGGTAAATGACTCTTTGGGTCCCAGACTGAGATTCTGCCTTCATTAAAGCTCAATAGCTAGAGGACTGATTTTCCTCAATAGAGGAGGCTTTGGCTATTACACCTGAAGATTCCTGTTATACCTGGAATGTAAATTGCCACAGTGTTCAGTATTAGAGCTATTCAAGTGTGATTTCTAAGCACAACCTTCCCCCCTTAGCCATCGTGTAGGATAGCCTCCGATTTTGAATGTAAGGTAAGAAAGGGAAAAGCTGTCACTTGTTACCTGATATGTGTGAGGGGTCTTTGGAAGAGCAAAATCCCCAAAGAATTACAAGTTGGTATAGAAGAGGCAGGAAGCACAGTGGGAAGTACAGTGGAAGCTGAGACCTTCCTGGCCTCCAATTTTCCCCTTCTTTGGAAAAACTGTTGTGTTTCACACATCCCCTCTGAGCCTCGCCTTCCTCAGATAAGACCTCAGGGAGTTCCATTAGAATCTTGTGGTGTCCAGCTCAACTGGTATCTGCCTCTAAATGTTACTGAACCTGAAATAACGGTCCTTAAGCAACCTGGCTTTTTTGTTCCAGTCCTGAATGAACTGTGTTGTTTTCTGACATGGATATGCCTGCTGGGAGGAGCTACAGTATAATGGTTAAAAACATGTCCTTTGAAGTCAGACTGCTTGGGTTCAAGTCCTGCCTCTTCCACTGATTTAGTGTGTGACCTTGCCCAAGTTATGTAAGCTCTCTGGGTCTCTGTACATCATCTACAACCCAAGGAGGATGACATAGTATCTACCTCCTGCCTTAGAGTGAAGGAACATGAGCTAATATATGTAAGGTACCTAGCAGTAAGCATTCTGGTACATATTAGTGTTACTGTTTGTGCCCACTTATGCCCCATTGTATTTGAGTTTTTAAATGCAACAGTATTTGCTTTTTTTTTGGTAGGCTATAGATTTGTGAGATTGACACCACCTTTTGGGGCAGGTTCTCTCACCATAGTGTGACTCAGGGGGCAGTGCAGATTCTAGTTGGGTATGTCTGGGGAAGGGCTGGAGTGTCTGATTTTCTAACAAGCTCCCATGTGATGTGGATGCTGTTGGTCTATGGATCATACTTTATGTGTTTTTCCCTAAGATTGTATTTATTTATTGTTAGAGAGAGGAGAAGAGAGAGAGAGAGAAAGAGGGAAACATCAGTGTGTAGTTGCCTCCCGTGTGCCCCCAACTGGGGACCTGGCCTTCAACCCAGGCTTACATCCTGACTGGGAATTGAACCCACAACCCTTTGGTTCACAGGCCAGCACTCAATCCACTGAGCCATACCAGCCAGAACTGTGTAGCAAAGTTTTAAAGGACAATTTGATTAAAACATACTTAACAAAGAAACAGAAATGTAAATACAGAGTGATGAAATGCCTTGCAATATGAAATGTGATCTCTTTCCACTGGGCAAGCATGTTTTCTTAGTGTTGCATGATGTGTCTCTGAACTGGTGATATAAAAGAAAAACAAACACTTATAAGGACATGGCTATGGATTCTTAGTAATTGATGAAAACCTTTCAGACTATAGGACAACACAGTTTAAACATGATAATTGCTAAAGGACTGAGACAAACAGTCCCAGAATGTGAGTAGATTAAGTATTTGATGTTACAAGGACGACTTTGATATTCCATAATATTTGTTCTCTGTGATTTTGCCTGAAAGTCGCTCCTTGAAGTTGTTAGAACCATGACTGTCCTGTCCTCTTTAGAATTTCAGTTTCAATAATCTGAAGTACCTTTGCTTCCCAGGGTGAGGTTCTGTTTACTTTGTATCTTTCAAAGGGTAAAGTGTCCTTTTTCTGAATATTTGACTGGAAGCCCCGAATTCAAATGGATATCTCTGCCTGGCTGCCTCATGACCAGGAGAGCTGTCACTCGCAGACATAGGTGTCTGTCTCTGCTGGTCGCATAAAGTTGAAAAAAGCAAACCCACAGCTGGAACCAAACTTAATGAAAGGCAACAAGCCTTGAATTGGAGTATGAGTCAAACCCCCAGAGGAGTACCTAGGGGAGAAGGAGGTCTGCCCAACAACAAGCTAAAGAAATGCCCAGGCCCACACAGTACAAGCTGGAACGCTTTGTTCCCGTGCCCACGGAGCGCTCCCTGTGTGTTCACCTGCTTGCTGGAGCTCCTCTGTCTTAGAGCCAGTAGTTGGAAGAGGGGCAGAGCGAATGCTGACATCCTTGGACAGGAGGCTGGAGAAAATGGGGCTCCCCCTCTAGTCCTTCAGTGCTGGGTGACCTTCCTTTCTTGACAGAGACTGAATGTTGGCTTCAGACTGAGGACCCCATGTAGCTATGCTTTTATGGCAGAGCACTCTGGCCCTATCTTCTCCTGAAGCGTGTATCCACAACTCCCAGAGATTCTGCCCTCCTCCTCCAGACCCCTTCCCTCTAGACATCAAATAGAGCCATCTGGCCAGTCTTCAGAGCAGCAGTCTCTGAGACATTATTATCATTTATGGGAATGAAATAGGATTTTCTAATTAACAAAGATCACAGTAATAATTTCTATCATTAAGCACCACATTAACTGTGCTGTGATTTTTTTACCTTGATCTCAGTTTTGAACTATGTCTGAAAATTTTTGAATGTTTATAGTTTAATGTGTATGTATTATTTTTGTTCACAATTTAATAAAATAGATGAAACTTTGCCTTCAAAGGTTTAACAGGCCTTTGAAAGAACAGGGCCATTTGAAAGAACAAAACCAACAACATTCGCTCCCTGGAGACCAGCCTTTCAGAAACCTGAGGATTCCAGACCTGAATAATTCTGAAATAGTCAAAATCACTCTTGAGACACACCCAAAAAATGGCTTTGGTGGTAAAGATACAGTCCTTGAGTAAGTTTTTGCAATAGAGAGGCTGATGCAAAACCTCAAGGGGCGAAGGTGTTGGAGCTGATTCATGCAAGCTAGCAAGGAATCATTTCTGAGAATCTGCCATGTGCCAGACACTGTGCTATGTGCCTTACTAGGAAATGATTTCACCAATTCATTCATCTTCACAACAACTCAATCAATAGGAATGATTAGTCCCTGTTTTACAGAGGACTGTTGAAAAGATTAAATGACTTGAACACACTAAGTGCTGCATAGGGGCTATTCATATTGACTTTTTAAAACAGAAAGAATAGTTTACATATGATCAGGAAAAACCTACAGGCTTTAGGTCTCCCCTATTCTGAGTTTATTTTTCTCACTGCCTCCTTCCAAAACAGGCTGACTTTCCAAAACACACATCAGGACATGCCTCTTCTTTGCTTAAATTCCATCTGTGGCGCCCCATTGCCTATGGAATAAAGGCCAGGCCCTTCATCATTTGTCTGCTGCCAGGCCTCCCTGGGCCCCCGGTGCTGGCCAGGCTGGGACGTGTTTCTCCCCGACCCAGCAGGCCTGCTGGGTTGGGCCTCCACGAGAATGTGCACGCTGTCCTGTCAGCCGGCGGGGCTGGGGGGTGCAGGGCATTCTTTGCCCACTCTGGATCCACCCCATGGACTCCGCTCAAAAGCCACTGGCTGACCCCCTTGTGTACTGTTCTATCTTACTGTTCCCCCTTCTTGTAACTATTTGTTCCCATCGCCCCCACCTGCCACCCAGCCACCCTGGGAACAATTCCAGGCACTTGGCTTTAGCAAAATGCCTACCCTTTGAATAGGTGCTTAAAATAAATGAGTAAATGAATTAAGGTACTTGGTGACTCAGTCTGTTGGATTTCAGCAAATGAAATTAGTCTTAAATGCAGCACAGAGTCTTCACATTTTTGTCTGGGATGGGCAGTTGATTGCAGATAAAACAAGGACACGAAGCCCCGTTGGCCCAGTCCCCAAAACCCAAAGCCTTGGAGGTTGGGGAGAGTTCTTGGCACACAAGCTGCTGCCTCCCTTGTCTTGTTTTTAATTTTGCTCATTCTGAATTTTTTGAGTCCCTTCAGAGATAATGACAGGAAAAACCTAAGCAAGTATGAGTGTGTGCTCCCCAGGGTGCCTTCTGGTGAAGGGACAGAGCCCCCTTCTGCCCACCACACTTCTCCCTTGTCCCTAATCAGCTGTCACTCTCCACACAGGGTGTTCCCTGTGGCCCACCTTCCACGCACACTTTGCAGGTTTGCGGGGCTTTTACACTTCCTACCCAAGTGGGGACACCACTGGGCTTATATCCTGACACATCAACAGACAGTTTCATATTTATTCAATAAATGAAAGCAAGATAACTCTTTCCAAATGTTCAGAGATAAGCTCTGGACCACATGTGGCTCTGACTAGGAAGGATGACGTAGTGGATGTGCGCACCTG